ACTCTGTCGTTAATCAACAACATATATCTAACTTGCAACAATCTATCTATGGATCTCTGTTTATTGGGTCGGGTTAAGTACGCTCTAGATACTGAATTAAAGCACCTATGTGAAGTGCTTAGTGTTATCAATATTTTTGTTTATATTAGGCTATTCTTTAGATTATAAATGGTAAATTAAGAAACTATATTTAAGAAAAGGTAGCCGATTTTGCAAAAAATATTTGAAGGTCTTCATGCAACAACCACTTTATAAGTCTCGACTTGTTTAAGCTATCATATATCTATATAAGTCGTATTAAGAATACCTGCATCATAAGCATACCCCACATACACACACTCACGTACATACCCTCACATTCACACACATCACCCAACACAGGCGAAAATACCTACGTATTATTTAGTTAAATGTATTTATTTATTTTTTCTATTATAAGTTTTGTAAATGTTTGAACCTTTTTGTATATTCTGTCTTTGGCTATATCTTTAGTATATTTATTTTATGTTACATATAAATTAAATGTGCCGTAGGAGTCCGAAATACAGAATGAAATATGTCTTAAAAATGTGTAACTAGGTAATGCTTACATACAATATGTTCTTACGAAGAAAGGCCGGTGACCTGTTCGCAGGAGTTCTATAGTCCTATTATAGGCACCAGCCTCTAACAAAGATGTTAACCCGTAGTACCTTAATACGCTATTTTAAAGTTAAAATTATATAGCAACTATCAAAAACTTGTGTATGAAATCAAAAGATTTGTCGAATTTTCTATCGCACCTGACGCTAAAACCTCGTAGAAATAACCACTTGTTTATTGATTACCAACTATCTTAACATCTATTCTTAAAGCGTTGTGTAACCTAACAAATATTTTAAAAACATTGGAAAAATAATAGACCAATGTATGAATATCTACTTATACTTATATATAATCTATGTACCGTTCGTGATATATCAAAACGAAGTTATACTTATTGTCTCTGCTCCAAAAATAATGCGTGATTTCTCACTCGGTTGTTATTTGTAGAGTATATTTGCATAATATTGATATAGGCGTTTAGCGTCTGAGCGATGGGAACCAGCGTTAAACTATTTAATACGTGGGCGATATACTGTTACATTATTAACATTGATGTCATGTATAAATAATGTGTTTCAATTGAAATATTTTTTTTTTGTTTAAATTATTTACGTCCGAGGTGTCTGAGAGGTTTTTACAATCAATTAAACAAATCTTTTGTTTTTATCAACTTTTTCCTGTTTTGTAATATTGTTTGTGATGTTGAAGGTTGTTAATTATTTTAACGGCATTAGAAAATATATTATATCAACAAAAAAAATCACGAATCAGATACCTGTTTTCTCAATAAACGAGTAGGTGATCAGCCCTCTAAATCAGTGCCTAATACATGCGTGGACTTTTTGTGCCTAGGGTTTCCTCACTATGTTTTAAGACACAAGTAAGTGTTAAACGCACACATAGAAAGTTCATTGGTGCACGCCGGGGCTGGAGTCGCACGTGGAAACCACTACGCTAACACAGCTCTAAAAACACTAAAATCAATTATATACGTTATATATTTTGTGATAGGGTTGCATAACTGAGGATTTAGATAGATTCGTTACGTCGAATCACTTATATTATGAGTATTGAAGATAAACTTTGACTAGCAATAATATGCTAAGCGCTGATGATGAATCAATCTTACAAAGTGTCTTAAAAAAATCAGTGGCGCTACAACCTCTTTAGGTCTTGGCCTCAGACTTCCCAATCTGTTTCATGATCATTTTTAAATCTAATAGACAAGTAGGTGATCAGCCTCCAGTGCTTTGGGTCTAAGACATGTCGGTTTCCTCACGATGTTTTCCTTCACCGTTGGAGCAAATGTTAAATGCGCATAGAAAGAAAGTCCATTGATGCACAGCCGGGGATCGAACCTACGACCTCAGGTATGAGAGTCGCACTCTGAAGCCACTAGGCAAACACTGCTCGTCGTACAAAGTGTCTTAATATACAAAAATATTGGCGCTACAACCCTTGAGATTCGGATTTCTGTATCTGTTTCCTAATCATCTCAAGTCAAGGCAAAATCAGCCCTCTGTTGATACACGCGGTCAATTTTATTATCACCGTACTCATGTTTGTGAGTCGCACGCTCCAGTCACTAGGCCATAGTACTCGGACTTTATATAATATTAATTAATTATATTTCCTTTTAACAAGCTTTGTTTACTAAAGGAAACCGTGTGAAAATTGTTGAATACTTTTTAAATTATGCCGTGTGTGGAGCCTTTCACGTGATTTGATGCATATCCTTGTCTCAATAAGATTTTTATCAATCGTTGCGCAGGCGATTTTAGAAGTTATTGCCCTTGATACTAGGTGTTTTATCACATGCATTTACTTGATTGGAACGATTTTTTTATGTTTGGTGAAAATAACGATTTTGTTTAAATATTCGTTATGTAAGAGTTACCGTTATAAGATTAACTATAAGAGTAACTACTGTCCAGTTAAACCCTATAAAAAATTGACATTAATAATCACGCATGTCACACACAACAATTCTTCTTAGATATATTCATGTATTATTATTCAAATAAGAGGCGAGACTTCACTATTGATTATTTGATCAAAAACACTTCTTTCACATAATAAGATGCCTATAATACATTTCAATATAATCTAAGATTTCAAACCTTGCTCCTTGTGGCAATTAAAGTGGTTTCGATAGCAGATATTGAATTGTCAAGTAACACTCATAATATAATGAGTGCAGTGCAAGGCGCCGTAGATTAGATATTTATTTTTACTTTATAAAGTCCGAAGCGAAATTGTACTTCTATATTTTCTTTAGTGGCAGTTCGAGGAACTTCGTGGCTTGAACACTTGACCCATCGAAATACGAACACAACCGAGATCTACACGGGTCCTTTAACTATGGTGAATGTTGTTGATTTCATTTATAAGTCATGAAAATATAAATTATACATATATCAATAAAGAACATAGACATTTAAAAATGTTAGTGTTGTTACGGAAAACAACTTTAGGAACTAAAGGCAAAAGAGCAACAATCGTAATAGTAAATTCGAGTATGTAAATTAAAAAAATTATAGCGAATATGACCTTTATATGTGTAGTTACATTCTCGCTTCAATTCGGTTATATGTTGTATATATTATACAATTAATACTATGCAACTCAAATTTTATTTTATTTGATACTGCCCTGCGATTCTGTAACTCATTTTTCGAACTCACACAGCGGTTTTCGCATTGGCGGTCGCTCTCAAATCAGTCGTGAAGCAGTCATTTTATGATTTGGCATTCTGAAAAGGTGGGAGCTTGTAGTTTATTGTTCGCGCGTTCAACATTCTTCAGTTACATAATATATTATACATACTTGTAATGGCTATCGTAAGTGCTTCAAAAGGCACATATATATGGAATTTATGAGGTTTTTGTGAGACCTGACACCTTTAATAATAAGAAAAATTACCAACAGATCCAGATATATAGGCCAAGCAAGATCTGTGTTGGTCTGCGGTTTGGTTATAAAAGAATGTAATTTTGTACTTGATCTAGAATACAATTACGGTGCGACCCACTTGTATTGTTGTTTATAACTTGGCTTATAAGTTATGTAGGATGGAACTTTAAGTGCTTTAACTTATCTGGTTTAGTTTGAATTTAGCTTTGCAAGTAGGGTACAAGTTAAATTGTACCCTTATTAGTCTATGAACGCAATTAACACTTATTTAAATATGAAGACGTGAAGAAACCGGCACAGACACAGAACTGTGTGGGACTCCATCAAGAGTAGCTCTTTATATTATCTATCAAAGAAATATTTTTTACCGAAATAGCAAGTATTTTTGAAACGATTTATTAAAACTTTGTACTAAATTAAGGCAACGGGCGGCCCTATTGCTAAGAAGCTACCTCTTCTAGGCAACCCTAGTAAAGAAAAATAAATACCAAAGAAAGTAGGGGATAAATAAATTTAAAAATAAAGTTACAAAAGATAACAATGTAGACTTGACAATTACAAAACCAAAAAAACTAAAATCTAATCTGAAGCCATGAATCATAATTCTAGGTTCTACTTAATGTACTTACGTCTTAATGTTTCTTGAAATAAAAATATATAAATACACAATACAAGAAATACTAAGGAATTTATTGTTTACATTAAGCTGATTAGCGGGTGTAATCGAGAAAGCGTTGTGGCGTCATCGGACAAAAAGCGGCGGCGAGCACGTCGAGTCTGTCCTTGACGGGTCACGGGCCCACCGGGCGGGTTCTTTCGCAATCCCTGGAAACCAAGGTCACAGAACGAATTAAACAGTATACGTTAATAAAACGCTGTACCCGTAGAAAGAACTCATGCTATATTATCGTAACTCTGTAAGACTTATTTACATTAGAGTCGGTGCCAATTATTGGTATATTTTTGTTGTTTGTAAGTAATTCAAGGATTTCTCTAAACTTGTATTTCCTCTCTATATCTTAAATTTGTGATGTGTTGTTTCCTTATTGAATACATAAACACGACAACGTGATAATCTAAGAAAAATTTACGATTTAATTGAAGATTTGTCTATACCCATGAACATACTGTACCTATTGACAGTCCAAAATTCTCACCGTAGTTGATGAATACATTATCTATATTCAATCCGTATAAAATTGTTCGGCCGTGCTTGTTGTGGGGCAGATTTGGGTGAAGATACAGCGCAGAATATATAAAATTGTCCTCGATGGTCACGGTTCCGCCATCACCTCACTTCGGTGGTACGTAGCGATCTCTCTCGGTCTCCTAGATTGATAGCAGCAAGGCAATGGTGGAATCTGCGAGCATGTAATGCTACAGAAGGAGACTACAAAAATAGATGAGCGATGAAAGGGGAGAGGAGAGAAGGAGATTTTTCGCTGATCTCCTGCCATTTATATAGTCCACACCTTGTCATATACTGCTAAGATCCCGGTAGAATGAGAAAGCGACCCGAGGGCCTCGATGCGGTTGTGTACTACCCGAGGTTGATAAACTCACCCACTTCTCTAAGTAGCCGAGTGCCTGAAGAGAGTCGAATCCCACATCAGGGGTATAAGCGTGGTATAAAATGTTTTTATCCCTACCATATTAAAAATTGAAGTTGTTCTTACTGTAACTAGTATATTACTGTCCAGTATAATATCGCACGTTATAGGCGCGATAAAAATATGAATCTGATTATATCAAGGCACACTGCTCTTACTCTTATTTTTACCAGCTTCTTTTTGTCGTGTAGCTTTTTGTATTGTCCAACTGCAGGTATTAATCTGTTGACAGTGTTTTTGTTTCGCTTTTTGACGTTCAACGAAGGAAGTCTTAAAGTATTGTTGCCATATGTATTAGGTATTATTTATTAAGAAGCTGCTATTGCTGGAGCAGTCTGTGTATATTATGGGTTCTATAACCGTTGATCTATATAACGCTGTCTATGCCTATAGTGAACTCATAGTAACTGAGGCGGAATTTTTACTTTAACTAATTTAACAACATTTTGGTTTGAAATTAATAACTATTCATTATTATTTTTACAATGAAATATATATATAACGATTCAAGATGGGGGATTAGGGTTCGTAATTTAGCCAAATGTCGTGACTAACATACATATAGTTCTTGTATAAAAACGATTTTTCTGTTTGTGTTTTCGTTTCGATTTTTGTATTAATTGTATTTTTTTCAACTCTAGGTTATAATTTAAAGTTCGTACTGTAGTGTACCCCTTCAGGCACCAAGATAACCCCTTAGTGGTTTTTTGGTGTTTTACTTTTAGTTTATTTGTAATATATTAAGCAATCATAAAAAAAAATTTTTTTTAACTAAATTTGTATATACAAATATTATGTAATAATCATATCCTAGAGAGTTCGAAATATTTAATTAGTCATAGTGAATATATTAACCTAATTTACTAATTACTAATGTAATTAAAGATTTATCATAAGTCATAAAAAATTGTTGCGTGTTCCATTAATTCCTTTTAATTCGAGATTCTAAATATTATATTAATTATTCACGCAATAGTGAGATTACTGGTCTGTATGCGTACTAAATTGCTAAACTGATTTTGATGAGTCGATAATCGATATAGAGGAACAAACATCGGTTTTCTGTTATTCCAATTTTAACAAGTCCCGAATAAATAAATATTTTTTTTAAGGTAACACACAAAACGTCCGGCAAAGTTATGGTGCTGAAGATGAACCAGCAGCGGGCGAACCGACCCAACATGCTTCGGGAGGTTCAACTCATGAACAAACTCAAACATCCTAATATTTTGGGGTAAGTTTATTACATTATTAATAACCAGGATTACAAATTGCAAGTCCCATATTGGAGTATTTGCTTTGGTCTATCAAACTGGTTTTTTTTTTTTTTTAAACACACACACAATTTCCCCAGTCCCCCCCTAGTCCGGTGGAGCTGGTGTGGGGGTTTCTTTCTGGTGCAATACATATTATATAGGTCTATAAATACATCAAACCCCTTGGATGTTTGTCTTACCGGGATCTAACCCGGGACCCATGGATTCGCAGTCAGGTACAACCACTAGACCTACGTTACAAAAAGTACAGCACTATAACAAAAATATTAAATTGATTCAAAGTTTTTTTTTTCACAAAAATGTATTTGATATTAATATTTTACAAAATATAATATATAAAATTCTCGTGTCACAATGTTCGTTCCCATACTCCTCCGAAACGGCTCGTACGATTCTTATGAAATTTTTTATGCATATTCAGTAAGTCTGAGAATCGGCTACTATCTATCTTTCAAACCCCTAAGTGATAAGCAGTGTCCACTAAATTTTTTTTTTAAAACAGATGTTATTTGTTTTTTTTTATGATACAGCATACAAAAATACATAGGTACAACCCTTAATTTTCATCTACGCTCTACGATCAACCCCTATGTTTTATTTGTTAGTTAAGAACTTATAACTTGAACTCTGAGAAATATAGAGAAAAATCACAGAAAAACCTAAAAAGTTATCATTCCGAAAAACCGAACAGTCTCTGGGCTGACTAAGGAGAAACGAAGTTCGCGGGGGCAGCTAGTTTGTTATATAAAGAAATATTTGAAATTCTTCAAATGTTTCTTTTTATGAGACTTATGTTACCTAAGATTAGTTAAGTTACATATATATTTTAGTTATCAATTAGTAGCCCAACCGAAACCAAATCACTTGGAGCGAAAATGAGCCCTTTAGTTTTTCCCACACTCAAAATCGTTTCCGATAATGTCCAATAGGTTGCCTACAGTTATATTGAAGTGTCACTAAGATTTAAGAACCCTTAAATAGGACAAGTTAGTTGTTTGTTAGGCTAGCGTCGCAACCCCATTACCATTACATTACCCCTAATCTTATGTTAGTTATATGTATATATAAGCTCAACTTTTAAACGATTTTGACACCCAGCTTCAAACAAGCGAACTAACGAGCAGCTGTTTTAAAACTCTTTAAAACGGAACATAGAATAGATACATAATATACCTAACGGTATAGGAATAGGAAAGACAAAATTGTTTGAACATTACGAAACAATACAAAATTATATAAATAACTAGCTGACCCGCATTTGCCATGCATATTATTTCTAGGAAACATTTTTTTAGTTCAATAAAAATAACTATCTACTATAAAAAAATAGGGGTTAATCGTAGAGGGTAGATGAAAATTAAAGGTTGTATGTAATTTTGTATGCTGTATCATAAAAAAAATTGTCTAAAAAATACACCTCCACTCCATATCACTTAGGGGTTTGAAAGATAGATAGAAGCCGATTCTCAGACTTACTGAATATGCATAAGAAACGGTCGAGCCGTTTAGGAGGAGTATGGGAACGAACATTGCGACACGAGAATTTTATATATTAGATAATATTCAATACATTTTAAGATTTAATTTTATTTACCTTAAATTAGACCAGTTGAAGTGATATTTGATTATTATGTGTCACTGGTCAAATATCGAAAACATATTTGCTTACTCAACCGTATTTATGATTATTCGAAGAGCCAATATTGATGTAACTGAATTGCATTCTTTAGGCATTCGTGAGTCTTCAAACTTTATCGGTGAAAGGTGCCAGACATTTTAAGCATATTTTGAAATACAACTTGGCCATAGTTAAAATTGTATACAAATTCAATAAAACCTATACAAGGCCGTTTTATTGTAGAATATTACTGTTTTTGATATTACGTTCTTACCAACAAATTTTCTAACCATAAAAAACTAAAATCTACTAATTTTGAATTGATTTGACTATTCAAAGGCTTTACTTTGTTATTAAAAGGTTTTTACATAAATATTTATTTCCAACACTTTGTATACTTATGTACGGTATTCATAATATCCTTAACCTACTTAGTTAAAATAATTATTATTAAAAATTGATAAATAGAAAATCAAAATAAATTTAAAAACTTTGTCCTTGTGAACTTTAACGCTGGCAGCATTTCGTCGCCGTATTGCGATACTTATTCGTTGAGCGAGGAGCTGGGGTCACAGGTACCTACTGTGTACTAGGCGCCAACTAAAATCTTTAATTAGCGCACAGGGCATTTGAACCCAAGATGTACGGCCCAAGATGCTATGCTATGTTCTTGGCTGAAATTTTATATACTTTTCTATTTTATTAAATTAAGATATTATTAGATAAGAATAGTTGACATTTAAATAATCAGAGTCCAAGAGAGAAGATCAATTGTGAAATCGACTGTCAAATTCTTTCACTAAACTCTTTTAAAGTCGGTTAATAAATCAGATGTCATTAAAGATGAGCCGATTTCCTTGTTTGCGTAATTTCGTTACGAAATCTCGAACAATGGATGCACTGTCTCGCATTTCGCATCATTTCCTCGTCTTATCATCGGAAGTAAAAAACAATGCTTTTTACTACTCATTGTTGGGTAACACATTTCGTTCGATCAAAAGTTTTAAAAAGTAACTGAAAACATCTTCCCGAAGGCGTGGTTAAGTAATATTACTGTAGTATTATCTATATGTAATTTTTAATTTAATAAAGCTGAATTTGCTTACTTTTACTCCATAGATCATTTATGTCTATATAACATCGTGTGAATTTACTACAAATTTTATTAGGGAATTATCCGTCTTAAGCGGGCCATAGACGGACCGCATGTTGCAGTCAAGACCGACTGCAATATGCGGTTTGCTCAGGAACTGCTCGAGCGGTCCGTGTATTGCGGATATGAATTTAGTATGGAAACTGCAGATCGCCGTGCGGCAACCGCTTAGAGCAGTCGGTATCGGCTGCAACATGCGGTCCGTCTATGGCCCGCTTTAGTTTCTAGTTCACAATATTTTTCATTTACAACCCAACGTTATCTTAGTTAAATATTCTTATCAAGAAAGTGGAGAGTATGGCAAAAAAAATGTGTTAAAAATGACAACTATTCAAGTCAAGTTAAGTCAAAATCATTTATTCATTTAGGTAACCCAATGTACACTTATGAACGACAAAAAAAGGAAATATATATGAAATGCTTCTAATTTTACATTTACTGCCAGTTCTCAAATCAAGGGCGTAGAACGGAAGAGAAGAACTGGCAATAAACTCTCCGCCACTGTATTATTGTAAGCATATATAACTAAATATAGTTATTATACTTAATAAACGTCTAAAAAAAAAACGTCTTTGTAACTTATTAGTTATATATTGCAAGCATGTAACTAATAAGTTACAAAGCTATTTATTAAGTAAACAATAAAAATAAAATTATAAAAAAATATGTTACTCATGGATAATGTAGCATTCATATAATGAAAGAATTTGGGTCCAGTCGTTTTTATTAGTAATGAACATAGCAAAATGCAAATACTTCATTTTAATATCAGATCCCTAGATAGTTATTTCGTATATATTTAACTCTCTCTTTAGTCTCTCTATGGTTCGGTAAATCGATCTACAAACTATCGTGTTTCAATTACATTGCTTAGTTGCATTTTTTTAAATTATTTATTTATTTTATTTACAAAAGCTTGCCAACGCTCGGCACTCATATATAATACATTAGTTTAGTACAATAAATAATAATGTCTTGATTTTCTTCTTTTGTAAATATTATTTATTTCATCTTTAGTATACATAATTGTCTGTTTATTATTATAATAATATATCTATGTAGGGTTACGAAATAAATAACGGAAAAATCAAGATTTAATGTGACAAGCAAACATAACAATCACAAAGGGAATTAACATCAATTCAAATTATAAAAAAACTAAAGGAAAATTGATTTCAAAGTGTGAGAGGAACTATGGATATCCAAATTGTTAAACAGAATTCTCTATCTGAACAACGGTGATCTCGTGGTCTTAATCCTAATCTTAACGCAATATTTTTATACTAAGTAAAGTTACTTAAGTTAGTTAGATATGAGGCATATTTGAACGCGACTCAAGTCTAAAATGTTGGCTATGCTTGCGAAAGTAAACAGACTCAATTATATAAATAATCTCGTGATAAATCAATGGTTAATTAGCGTGTTATGTGCCCTTTCAATATACTTCCTAGGAAACACTTTCTATTGCGTGTACGATTCCAATATTTTTATGGTGGTTGCAATTCACTCCTTAGATGCCGATCACACGCGAAGCTTAATTGGCATTTGGTTTGAATCAAAACAGTTTTAAGATAACTGTAGGTAACTATTAAAAGACTTAATTTCCATAAATTTAAATGGAACAAAAAAGTGTATAGTTTTTTATAATTCTTGCAGTTTTGGTCTAGTGGTTTAAACATGCGACTCTCATTCCTAAGGCCATTGCCTTAAGAAAAGTCATTACTTTTCTTTCTACGGTAAAGGAAAACATCTTGAGGAAAGATGCGTTTGACCAATATTTTAAGGCGTTTGGTAATTGTAGCTTATTATTTTATGCTCCCCTTATGTTATATGAATTTTATATATAAGAGAGTAAAACTCAAATGTTATGCAAAAATATTTATTTTAAGAAACAACAGTTAGAGTTTGTTATTTCCATAATCAATCCAAAATGTAATCACAATAATAACTTCGTGTTCAAATTAAAATGACTAACACATACACAAACAAAACTAGCGTCTTTTCCACAGTCTAACAAACAAAATTAAATGAACATCTGTAAAAATAAAATAGATAATTAATAATCTAAATTAAGAAATATAATTATTTCTTTACATATATACGTAAGCCACCAGATACATAGAGGGAGGAGTTTCAAATCGTCCTTCGGGCTTTTAAATCTGGTAATGAAATTGTGT